GTTGGGGGAAGATGGTATGGAATGGGAGAATCCCTCCTTCCTGCAAAAGGAGAAAGTCAGGGACTGCTCTGTCTGTATCTTTACAAGGAAACTCTCACTTGGTTTCTAGCAACAAAACTCAGAGCCACTGATGTTGGGCTGGAACAAGCATTTCCTGGTGGGGAGAGCAGCTGGACCGCACAGACTCGAGGTTCCATTTTTGAGGTTCACCTTCGCTTGGGATCTCTCCTTGGTTACCACCACTGATGTCTGCCATGCTGGACTTTGGGGAACGTTGCTTCCCCTTCAACACATCTTGGTGCCTTCAGACAAGTTTTTATTAAAGACTAGGGAAAACAAAAGGGAAACTTAAATAAGAGTGCCTGGAATCTGTCTTATAAGACACAGTTTATACATCCTCATCTGTCTCCCTTCTTAGCTGCTGGCCTGTCTGGATGCCATTCTTAGCATCTGTGACCCAGGTGGTTACACTTGTCCATCTACCTACCTTAAGGTAGAGCCAGGTTCTGGAGAGATTAGGAAATCTTCCCATGTGCCTGAGATCCCACCTCATCAGATCTGGAGTCCTGTCTAAAGAGCCACCTTCTTCCTAACAATTAACACTAAAGTCGAGGTCTCCTTTATCCAATTCCCCGCCTCTACCTGCCTCTCTCACCCCTGAGTCTCGTCCTGCCTGCTTCTTCTTGGAGGACGAGATGGTTGTCACAGAGGTCTCATCTAGTCTTTTTGTCTTGCTCCTCCTGAAGTGGGGAGGGGTATGACATGGGCTCACTCTGTGGAGACCCTAAAGCCAGGATGGCCAGGACGCAGTGCAGAAATGTTCCAATGCAACTTAGCAGGAACTATGACCCGGTGGGGTGGGGCAGTGGTGGGGGCTGGCACTTCTCAAATCTGTGTAGGGAGAGGGAGGGAGGAAGCCCAGAGATCCTCCTGTATGCACCAGTCCCACTTCTATCCACTCTTTCTGTCAGGAGGTCCTTATTATCTCATCTCATCCCCTCCCTTTTCTCCATGGCAGGCCCCTGTGATGGAAAGGTTGGCGAGCCTTTGATCTCACGTTCCTGCATGTCTCCATGAGTATGCCTGTGTTCATGTTCCATTCTGACCACTCGAGCTGTTTGGAAATTATCTGTCTGAGGGAACAGCTGTCTGGCTGAGGCTCCATCTTACTGAGCCCTGGCATTTGTGCCTGTCTGCATAGGGCTGTGGTCTGGGTCTAGGTGAGAAAGTCTCAGGGTCCTTTCCCTCCCCGGTTCCTGGTGGCAAACATCTACACCTAGGCACATTCTGCTTTTCTCTGGTCATTTTCTTCCATTTACACCAGGCTTCTCTACCAACTGAAGTCCTAGCACTTCAGCGATAGCTGAAGGATCCTGTCACTGGCCCTATAGGGAGCTAATCCTGCAGGGATATGACTAATCTTTTCTATAACTGGGGAGATGGCATGGGAGGAGGGTAGAAAAGAGACAAGACCCAACTTCTAGCAGAAAACTCTTCTTTTTCTCCCGAAGTAAAGACTACATCTGCTAACCTCATGTCTTCCAGTACGACCTGGGACCTCAGCCTGTAACTCCAAGGATATCAGCTCAGCTATTCTTCCTTTAATCTTCTGCCTTCAACAAAAATGCAGGACTAGGGAAAGCAAAAAGGAAACTTAAAAAGAAAAGAGTGCTAGGAATCTGTCCTATAAGATGCAGTCTGTGCTTCCTTATCTGCCTTTCTTCTTAATTCCTGACCTGTATGGACATTGTCTTAGCATCTGTGACCCAGGTGGCTATGCTTGTTCATTTACCTGCCTTATGGTAGAGCCCAGTTCTAGAGAGATTAGGAAATCTTTCCAGTCACATTGTTCATCTTTTCACCTACTCTTCCCCTAAGCTACAAGCTCCTGTATTTTTTCTTTTTCTTTTTTTTTTTTTAAAGAGAGATGGGGTCTCAATATGTTGCCCAGGCTGGACTCAAACTCCTGGGCTCAAGGAATCCGAGTAGTGGGGACTACAGGTGAACACTACTGTGCTGGGTTCTGGATTCTTGATACCGTCTTCTGCTCTTCATCTCCTCCCAGCCATTCCCATTGTATACTGAGAAACTCAGTTCCTTAGAATCTTCAGTTGCAGGGAATGGACCCATTCTCAGGTAATGTCAAGAGAGGGTTATTGAAAGCTATATGGGGAAATACAAAAGATTGGAATATTTTATTTAACCTAGCTTTTTGATTGAACATATATATGAATATGGTAAAAACAGTAAATTTTTTAAAAAGAACAAGGAAGCACACACCTTAGCCCATAAGTTGGTTACCCAGTCTAAACATTTTAATGCATATGCAATCATATATAGGTGTGTGAATATGTATGAGTGTTTCTTTGTATATACAAATGAAGGTGCACTGTACACATGGTTTCACACGTTGCTTTTCGTGTTTTTCACTAACACTGTATCTTGGGCTCATTCCACATAGGTATTTATGGATCAATCTCATTCTTTCTCATGGCTACATTATATTTAATTATGTGGCTAGACCATAATTTATTTCACAAATTCCTTATTAATAAACATCTTAGTTGTTTTTTATACTTGTGCTATTTTAAGCCATATATAGTATATACATATTCTTTATATATAAAAAGTAAAAGGCTAAAAATAACTTACACACACTACAATCTATACTCCTTCCTTTAGTTTTGGAGTGCTCCATCCACACAGCTGGCTTCAAGCACCACCAAATATAAATGACTCCCAAGTCTCTATCTCCAGCCCAGAACGGACCCTGAAGTTACATACAGACTCTGAACTGAAGGATACCTTCCCCTGGCCATGCCAAGAACATCTCATCTGAAGATGGATACATTTTAACTCACGTTTTACCACAGATCAGTGTCTTGTCCTCAATTTCCTATTACCCTCAATTCCTCCCTTCTCTTTGCCCGTCACATCCATCAAATCTTCAAGTCTGTATCATCCAGTCTTGTAGATTGTACCTCCTTAGTGTCAGTCGGGTCTGCTCCCTCCCTCCCGCCTCACTGCCCTTGTTTTAGCTGACACCTCCCTCTCTTGCCCAGGCGATCGCAATAGGCTCACTGTCTTTTCCTCACCCTGTTCTGATCGTTCTTCGCTTGGCAGCCACAGGATCTCGAATGCAGGTTTGATTCTATTACTCCGGATCTCAAATCCCTCCTTTCCTTTCCCACTGCTCTGGCATAGTTTGAATTCATCTGATTACTGCCTCCGCAGGCTTACTTCTCAGCACAACCTCTTCACAGCCTACCTCTCCAGCCATGCCACATTCTGCCAGTTCCCAGGCTACTCCTGGCTGTGCCCTTGCTCCTGTGGCTACATCTTGAAATGGCCTCTGCCTGTATCTCCCTTATACTGAATACTTGTCTTTCAAGATGAAGTCAAGGCAAACTCACCTCTTTGGGTGTCCTCCCCAGGTAGAACTAAGCAGTTCCTCTCCGTGCCCCCTCTGTCACACTCGTAACACTTTGTCCCTTTTGTTGCCTTCTACACTGTGAACCAGGGTATACCCGAGGGCCTGGCATGTAGAGGTTCTTGATAAATGATTGATGAGGCCAGGATGAGTAGAAGCTCACGCCTGTAATCCCAACACTTTGGGAGGCTGAGGCAGGTGGATCACAAGGTCAAGAGATCGAGACCATCCTGGCCAACATGGTGAAACCCCATCTCTACTAAAAATACAAAAATTAGCTGGGCATGCTGGTGGGTGCCTGTAATCCCAGCTACTCGAGAGGCTGAGCAGGAGAATTGTTTGAAACTGGGAGGCAGAAATTGCAGTGAGCCAAGATTGCACCATTGCACTCCAGCCTAGGGGACAGGGCAAGACTGCATCTCAATAAATAAATCAATAAATGATTGGTGAATGAATGAGTCAATGAATGAATTAAATCCTGCTTCTCTGCCTTCCATCGAATCATTACCTTTGTCTGAAGAGGTGAGAACTCTGACATATATCTGAATATTGAGACTCCCAGGGAGTTATCTATGTTACTGCTTGCAGAAGGAGTGTGAGCACACTTGGAAACCCAAGTGCTTTGTGGTTGTTGGTAATAAAGGAACCAGGTTTGAGCACTGGGCCTGTGCACAAGTGGCCCTGTGAGCCTCATAAGTTCCAGGAGTGATGGAAGGTGCCTATGGTCCAGGAAGAGGCTGATTACACCTGTGTTTTTGCTCATAATGGGAATGAGAAGGGAACTCTTCCATGAATCCCATTTCTGCCATCCTTTGTCATGACCCTCAGGCCTGATTCCTAGCCATGGCTTTTGGCTCTTGAGGCAATCTTACCTGTGGGCAATTCCATACCTGTGGAGAGACCCCTTGTCCTGCCCAATCAGGCAGAGAAGTTAAGTTCAGGATGAGAACAGATAGGACCAGGCCTCTGTATGGCTGGGGTGAAAACTGGAGCCCCTGCTGGGGATGGGTATTGGCGTGGGGCATTGATAGAGTCCGGACCTCCGGGAGCCTTTGAGGAGTGAGCCAGATCAGGCTCCCTCAGTCCCTGGATTCTCACAGGTCTGGACGTGGAGCTGTCACTAGAGGTGGGGACTATTGGGTCAGCCTGGACTGGGGTAGCATGTGAAGTGTGAAGAAATTGGAATCTATGCAAGAGGAATAAGATAGCTACATAATTAGGATGATTCTAGATGGACCCAAACATGTCAATGGGGAGGCAAACCCAATATAGGGTAGGATTGGGGGGAAGAAAAAGGGAGAAGAAAAGGGAAAGGATAGAGGCAGATAGGGAGGGAAGAGGAAGGAGAGAAGAAGGAAAGGGAGGAGAGAAAGGAAAGGAAGGAGAGGGAGTGAAGGAAGTCCAGTCCTGCCCTGCCCTGGCCCGCATGAAGGACTGGAGACAGAGACACTGCACCGGTGCCATCCAAGGGCCTCCATCCCCAGCAGAGGCCTTAGGCTGGGGGACAGAGGGAGAGAAGTGACCCATGGGACCTGCTGCTCCAGGGTTTCCCTGTTTCTGTGTTTCACAGCCTGACTGTACCTCCAAGCCTGGCCAAACCCTGTATTTGAAGGAGAGGCCCTGACTCTGTGATGTCAGGGACGGAAGAATACACCACTGTCTCAGGTGAAGTTCTACAAAGATGGGAAAGTCCTTCATTTCTCTAAGGAAAGCAGGCTCTGTCCATGGGAGCAGCAACAGTGCAGAGCCATGGCCAGTACCGCTGCACCGGGCAGGTGATGTATGTTCCACAGACATTTACACAAACTTCAGAGGCTGCCATGGTTCAAGTCCAAGGTGAGTCACCAGCTTGGGAGTTTGTGGGGCAGGAGGTGCCACTCAGGGGTCCTGTCTCTAGAGGTCAGTAGCTCTCAGGAAAGGACCCCTGTCTCTGGCTGCCCCTCTTGCTGGACCAATGTGTGAGGCTCTAAGGTTTCCCAAGATGTTATCTGAATGTCCCCCTCCCCACCATGGGACACATCTGGGACCAGGGGAAGGAGCAGAGAGATCCCTGGGAGGGGGTGCTGGGAAGAGGATGGACCAGTCCAGGCTCACCCTTCCCCTGTGTGGACTAGAGGACCTCGAAGGCCCCCACTGGCTGTGAGGGAGTCATTTCAGAGCTTGTGGGTGAGGACAAGAGGACAGGTCCTGGGGATGAAACTGCCTCCCATCAGGAACCCCGGGCTGCAGCCTGGGATGAGTAGAAGCTCAGGCCTCAGCCTCATGGGGCTTCATCACCCTGGACTTGCCTCCTGAGCCCTGGGCCTGCATCTCCCCAGAGTTGTTCCCACCTCCGGAGCTGAGTGCCGTCCCCTCTCCTGAGCCCCGAGAGGGGAGCCTGGTGACCCTGAGATGTCAGACAAAGCTGTACCCCCTGAGGTCAGCATTGAGGCTCCTCTTGTCCTTCCACAAGGACTGCCGCACCTTCCAGGACAGGGGCCCCCACCCAGAACTCTGCATCCCAGGAGTCAAGGGTGGAGACTCTGGGCTTTACTGGTGTGAGGCGGCCCCTGAGGGTGGCCAGGTCCAGAAGCAGAGCCCCCAGCTGGAGGTCAGAGTACAGGGTAAGTTCATGAGGGTGGGGAGACACCCCCAGGGGTCTGGACATTGAGCAGTGGGACCCCCTGGGAGGAAGGGAGTTGGGAGAAGGGTCCCTGGGAGAGGTGAAAGCCAGGTCCTGGGTGGTCAGGCTGAACCTCCCACCCAATGTGCATCCCAGCTCCTGTGTCCTGCCCTGTACTCACTCTGTACCATGGGCCCGCTGACCCTGCTGTGGGGGACGTGGTGCAGCTCCTCTGCGAGGCCCAGAGGGGCTTCTCTGATCCAGTATTCATTCTACTTTGATGAGAAGATTGTGGGGAACCACTCAGCTCCCTGTGGTGGAACCGCCTCCCTCTTCTTCCCAGTGAAGTCAGAGCACAATGCTGGGATCTCATCCTGTGAGGCTGAGAACAGTGTCTCCATAGGAGTGAGCCCAAAAACTCTCCCTTGTTGGTGCATCTTGTCCTCTAACTGGGCTCAGAGCCCTGGAGGTTAGGATAATGGTGCACTCATCACTGCACCCTAAGCAGCCTGGCGTGGAATGAGGGGAGCTTGGAGGGGCAGATGTGTGGAGGAAGAGGTATGTCAAGCGTTAGGAAAACAAGAAAGGGCAACAGGACCCAAGCAGTGAGACGTGTCTCCTTTTCTCAACCATAGAAGTTGTGGATCCTTCTAGAGAACTGGTTTCCTGTGGTCTCACCAACTCTAAGCCTTCTAGCTCTTGGCCTGAGACACAGGCAACTTCTCTCCTGCAGTGAGGCCATAGGGTGTGTTTGAGGGGTGGGGTGGGGGGCAGAGCTAGAGTCACACACAGGATGGGAACAGAGAGGTGGAAGGAGCTGGAGTCCCATGTGCAGGTCAGCTTGGGAGACCTGCAGGAGACCAGAATCCAGCTTGGCCCTCATGACTCTCCAGGCTCTCTATGCACTCTCCCCTCTGAGCTGTCTACATTTCCTTCTTCCCCTTTGCTGCTGGGGTGAGCCATTGATAGGTCTGTATGCCATTCTGCAGAGGGAGTTCTGAGGCCTTACAGACAGGGTTGGTTGGTTTGTTTTTCTTTTGTTTTTGTATTTTTTGGGGGGTTAATCACAGCCCTCTGAGTTCCCCGGAACTCCTCATAGTGCCAGGGGAGAAACAATAGTAGTTTTGTCTAGGTGTGGCCTGAAGATTCATGAAAGTAGCTCTAAGGCTCTGGGGCCTGGGTGTCAACTGTGACCCTGACCCCGCATCCTTTCCACATGGTCCTGCAAAGCTGCCAGGACTTCCACTTTCTACTGCATGTCCTAACCTTCCATGCCTGGGAATCTTACCCAATAAAGTGAGGTGACAGAATGAGTACAAGTCAGTCCCAATGTGTGTTAGCATTCTGCAGCTTCCTTGGTCTCAGAGGACTCTGTGAGCTATCTCCTCACCTCACTCACAGCTGGGTGGCACCCTTAACCCCCTTCTCCAGCCCCGGGTACCAGCTCATAAAGGGGCTCAGTGGCTGTGGGCACAGAGAGCCCTGCTAGAACCCTTCGCTCTGGATTTCTCCCTGAGGGACCTTGTTCTCCAGCAGCGTCATTGTCAGTGCAGGGCAGGATTCAAGAGTCCGGCCATACTGGACTGATTTGGTTTGATTGGTTTGTTCCTTCCTTCCTTCTTATTGCCTTGTTCGAAAGGTGAATCTTATAAGTTCCCTAGCAAAGAATCAATCTTTCCCAGAGAGAGGTTTGGCCTTTGCCCCCACTATGGGGTGCCAATCTCTAGGCCCCGGGATGCCATACCTGATAAGAGTGTCTTTGTTTGTCCAGGGGCCTTGGCCATCAGACAGTTCAACAGTGTGATTTATGATGGGGGATTTGGGCCAAGCACTGTCATTTCTACCTCCAGAGGAACTGGAGACCAAAGATATCAGCCTGACCTTTGGAAAGGCTGGTGACTGACAGTCAGCCACGTGGGCAGCGTGTGATTTAGTCCTAGTAAAAACTCTGAGGCTTGGCTGAGCTTTCCTCGTTGGAAATACTGTGTGTGTGTTGTCACACACTGATGCCAGGAGAGAACCCCATCCCAACGCCCTGGGAGAGGACATACTTAGTACTTCCCTGGACTCTGTGTGCTTCTTTCCCAGGCTGATTTTAATCTGTATCCTTTCCCTTCAGTAAGACATAACCATGAATATAACAGCTTTCATTGTATTCTGTGAATCCTTCTAGCAAATTATTAAAACTGAGGGTAGTTTTTGAAATTCCTTGGGCTTGCAATAGGTGTCAGAAGTGAGGGCGGTCCTGTGTGGACTGTGTTCTCTCTAACTGTACACTTGGCTAAACTCTCACACATGTCTTATAAAATGTACACACTGTCGCAAGATAAAATACCAGTTAGGAAGATAAGGTCAGAAGAAAGTAGGATAGGAAAATAAGTTGCAGCAAGGGACAAGCTCGGTATCCAAATGATGTTTCAGTGTTTGATCCATGGCTACAGGAGGGCTACGAATGCAGCTTTCTGCTTTCCATCAGCAACTCCAAGAGGGCAATAAAATCTACTGTAAAATCACAGGGCTGCTCAGAGAAATGGCCCTGCTGTTCCTACCACTGGGAGGCATTTTTTCTCAAGAAAACACTGTGTGATAATGAACAGCATCTTTAGCCTTATATTTTCCATAGCCCCACTGAATATTCCTGCTTTATAACACTCTTTGACACAAGCTATGGTCATTGATTGCAACAAAACATTTCAGGGGGGGAGGTCTGCACCATCCTCATATGAGGTGGCTTGGGTTTTGTCTTTCTGATCATTGAGCTAAACCTAGGTTAGTGATTCTCAATGGAGGCAGAAATCCCAACTTTGAGGACCTCTGCCAGACTGAGCCATAATTACGTATGGAAGCATATGGCATGCTTTTGTGGTTTTAAGGCTATAAAAAAAGGTGAGAAACACTATTTGATTGATTGACGGATTGAGACAGAGTCTTGCTCTGTCACCCACACTGGAGTAAGGAGGTGTAATCATGGCTCACTGTAGTCTCCCCTCCCCTTTCACCCCTGGGCTCAAGCCGTCTTCCCACCTCAGCTGCCTGAGTGGCTGGGACTACAGAAGTGCACCAGTACACCACCATGCCCTGCTGATTTTGTATTTTTGGTAGAGATGGTGTTTTGCCATGCTGCCCAAGCAAGTCTTGAACTCCTGGGCTCGAGTGATTTGCCTGCCTCACCCTCCCAAAGTGGTGGGATTTCAGGCATAAGCTACCATGCCCAGTCGATAAACATTATTTTTAAAGGATTTTGAGTAGGGTGCGGGAACATTTCTTTAAGTGAAATGTTCCTCTCTCCCATCCAGGAAATATTTTCATAAGCCCAATTATGTAACTAGGTGAAAGTTCAGCTATTCCAGTTGAAATGAAGATGAAAACCCAGGAGTTACACCTGCCAATGCCACCCCATTTTCTGCTTATCTGCAATCCCTGAGCAGAGGAGCTCCCTAGAATCCTTAAGGCTCCAAGACATTGCCTTGGGATTTACATAAAGTGCTGAGCTGGGCTACTCCCTCCAACTTCCACAAGAACAGTTTATTTTATTTTATTTTTATCATATTGGGTTTCTTGTGATATTTACATTGAGGAAAGGTTGCATGGATTTTATTTTAAAGTTCAGCAGCCACTGTTCTAGAGGAGGGACTTAGTTGCATAGACTTTGGGTAATACTTCATCAGGTGAGCTTGGAAAGGTAAAGAGTTAGGGACTATACCCCATTCCCCCTTCTCCATCCCCACAGGCAGCTAGCTATCCTCAGTGCTAGAAATTATCCATCGTAGAAAACTACTCTCCACCTCTTCTTGCTCCATGCAGAGAGCAGTTTAGGGGTTGCTTCTTAACCCTCCACTTCTCTTTCTGTTTCTCATTTCCTCTTCTAGTAGTTTGAGAGGGAATCCCCAAGCCCTCCCCTTCTTCATCTCCTCCTCCTCCTCCTCCTCTTCTTCTTCTTTTTGTTTTTTCTTTGTGATGGAGTCTTGCCTCATCGCTCAGGCTGGAGTGCAGTGGTGAGATTTCAGCTCACTGCAACCTGTGCCTCCTGAGTTCAAGTGATTTTCCTGCCTCATCCTCCTGAGTAGCTGAGATTACAGGTGCCTGCCACCACACCCAGCTGATTTTTTTTTTTTTTTAACTAGAGATGGGGTTTCACCATGTTGGCCAGGCTGGTCTTGAACTCCTAACCTCAGGTGATCCACCCCACATGGCCTCCCAAAGTATTGGGATTACAGGCATGAGCCACCGTGCCCAGTCCTTCCCTACTTCTAAAACATTTCTGTAGATTAGAAGAAAATGACTCCATTGTTGGTGCACTGCTGCCATGCTTCCTCCCCTCAGAGGAAGAAACCTCTCAGACATAGGAAATCCTGCCTCACAGTCCAATGACTCAAACTCCAAGCCACCTCCAATGTTCCAAGGTCAGAATCCCAGACAGTCCTTCTCTCCCCTTCAAAGAAGGATTTGACCAAGAGAGCAGAGTGCCATGGGTGCCACAAAACCATTGTAACTGGCAAGGTATTTGGGGAACTTGACAGGGAAGAGAGAGGATCTTTCATGTGATAGTGAAAAACATTTAATGGGAAGGAGAGGAGTGAGTTTCCCTGAGAAAAGAGAAAATGAGATTGCCTTCTGAGTCTCAAAGTGTTAAGTACATACTTGGTACATCAGAGATGAGGCAGGCATGTTATTCCTAAAGAATTACAAAAATGAGATGGGGTGTTGTGAACAGCTCTCAGCAGAATAAGTATGGGGGAATGTACCTCAACACAATAAAATCCATATATGACAAGCCCACAGCTAATATTATACTCAATGGAGAAAAGTTGAAAGCTTTTCTTCTAATATCAGAAACATAACAAGGATGTCCACTTTCACCACTCCTTTTCAACATAGTTCTCAAAGTCCTAGCCAGAGCAATTCTTCAAGAGAAAGAAATAAAAGGCATCTTAATAAGAAAGGAAGAAGAGAAATTGCCTTCCTTTGCTGATGACATGATCATATATATATACTAAAGACTCAGTAGAAAACTCTCAGAACTGATGAACAAATTCCATAAAGTTGCAGAATACAAAATCAACATACAAAAATTAGTAGCATTTCTGTATGCTAATAACAAGCTATCCAAAAAGGAAATTAGGAACCATCCAATTTACAACAGCAACAAAAGATAAAGTAGTTAGATGTAAATTTAACTAAGGAGGTGAAAGACTTATATACTGAAAACTATAAAACACTAATGAAAGAATGGATGAAAACACATATAAATAGCAAGATATTCCATGTTCATGGATTGGAAAAGTTAATACTGTTATAATGTCCATATTAACCCAAAGGAGTCTACGGATTCAATGCAATCCCTATTTTTAATTGTAGTCTAATGTCACTTTTTACAGAAATAGAAAAACAAATCCCTAAATGTGTAGGGAACAACAAAAGACCACAAAGGGCCAAAATAATTTTGAGCAAAAATAACAAAGCTAAAGGCATTGCAGGTCTTTAATTTAAAGTATATTATAAAGCAATTGTAATAAAAACAATATAGTACTGCCATAAAAACAGATCCACCAACCAATGGAACAGAAATAAACCAATGCATTTATAGTTGATTGATTTTTGACAAAGGTGCCAAAAGCCTACAATGAGGAAAGGACAATCTATTCAATAAACAGTGCAGGAAAGGTGGTTATCCACATGCAGAAGGATGAAATTAGTCCTTTATCTTCCATTACGCATAAAATGGAGGAAAGACTTTAAATGTAAGACTTACACTGTAAAACTACTAGAAGGAAGCATGAGGGGAAACCCTCATTACATTGGTCTGGACAAGACTTTTTGGATTTGACTCTGACAGGCAACAAAAGCAAAATAAACAAATGGGATTGTGTAAAACTAAAATGTTTATGCACAGCAAAACAAAAACAACAAAGTGAAAGACCTACAGAATGGGAAAAGTATTTTCAAACTATACATCTGATGAGGAGTTAATATCCAAAATATATGAGGAATCCAAACAACACATTAGCAAAAAAACAAGTAACCTGATTAAAAAATGGGCAAAGGACTTGAACAGGCACTTCTCAAAAGAAGGCATTCAAATGGCTAACAGGTTCATTAAAAAATGGTCAGCATCCCTAATCACTAAAGAAATGCAAATTAAAACCACAATGGGGTATCACCTCTTACCTGTTAGAATGGCTTTTATCAAAATGATAAAAGATAACATATATTGACAAAGACACAGAAAAAAGGGAACACTTGTACACTGTTAGTAGGAATGTAAATTAATACAGCTGTTATAGAAAACAGTATGGAGGTTTCTCAAAAAACTAAAAATGTAACTTCCATATGATCCAACAATCCCACTTCTGGAAATATATCCAAAGGAATTCAAATAACTATGTTGAAGGGATATCCCTTTAACTTGAACTCCCATGTTTATTGTAGCATTATGTACAATTGATAAGATGTGAAATCAATCTAAATGTCCATCAGTGGATAAATAGAAAAGAAAATGAGGTGTATACACACAATGGAATATTATTCAGCTTTTAAAAAGAATGTAGTTCTGTCATTTTGGACAACACAAATGAATCTAGAGGATACTATGCTAAGTGAAATAAGCCAGGCACAGAAAGATGAATAATGCATGATCTCATTTAGATGTGGAACATAAAAGAAGTTGAGGCTGGTCCGAGTGCAGTGGTGTTTACAACTGGATCACAACCAGTTACAGATTTCTTTGTCCCTTCTCATTTCCCACTGCTTGACTTGACTAGGCTTAAAAAAAAAAAGTTGAATTTATGAAAGAATAATGGTTCCCAGAGGCAGTGGGTAGGGGAGGAGTGAAGGAATGGGGAATTACTGGTCCAAGGGTACAAAGTTTCAGCTGGACCAGAAGAATAAGTTTTGAGATCTGCTGCACAGCAGGATGACTGTAATCAATGATAATATGTTATGTATTTCAAACTAAGAGAGCAATTTCAAATGTATCACCACAAAAATATTAAGAAAGTGAAGTGATGGGTATGTTAATTAGCTTGATTTAATCACTCTGAATTATAGACATATATCCAAACATCACATCATACTATATAAACATAATATAATTATAGTTTGTCAATTAAGCATCATTTATATACTCTTTTTTTTTAGAGAAGGAAAGAAAAAAAGGAGTGAAGGAGAGAAAGAAAGGAAGAAAAAGAAGGAGAGAGAACGGAAATCTTGCTTTATTCTAAAAAAAAATGGGTATTAATAATGGCCAATCAATGTTTCATTTAAACCTATGAGTAGGTGTGATGTGGTATTGACAAGAATGTATATTTTGTGTATTTAAAGTGGAGAGCTCTATAAATATTTGTTAAGTTTACTTGTTCTGGATCTGTGTTCAAGTCCTTGATATCCTTATTAATTTTCTGTCTCATTGAGTCTAAGTCTCTATGTATCTGGGTGTTAGGATCATTAGCTCTTGTTGTTGCACTGATCCTTTTACCACTATATCTTTGTTGCTTTAAAATCTATTTTATCAGATACGAGAATTGCAACTCCTGCTTTTTATTTATTTATTTAATTTTGCTCTCCATTTGGTTGGTAAATCTTTCTCCATCCCTTTGTTTTGAGTCTTTGTGTATCCTTGCATGTGAAACGGGTCTGGATGTAACATGCCTTGGGTTTTGGCTGTATCTTTTGATTGGGGGATTTAGCCGATTTAAATTTAGGATTACTGCCATTTGATGTTAACTGGCTGTTTTATCTATTCGTTGGTGTAAATTCTTCTTTATGTTGATGCTCTTTACTTTTTGGTCTATTTTTAGAAAGGCTAATACTGGTTGTTTCTTTCTATGTGTAATGCTTCTTTCAGAAGCTCTTGTAAAGCAGGCCTGGTGGTAATAAAATCTCTGAATACTTGCTTGTTCATTCTCCCATTTATATACTCTTCCTTCAGTTGTGAAGCTTAGTTTGGCTGGATATGAAATTCAGGGCTGAAAGTTCTGTTCTTTAAGGATGTTGAATATTGGCCCCCACTCTCTTCTGGCTTGTAGAGTTTCTGCTGAGAGATCTGCTGTAAGTCTGATAGGCTTCCCTTTGTAATTAACCTGACCTTTCTCTCTGGCTGCCCTTAGTATTTTCTCCTTCGTTTCAACCCTGGTGAATCTAACGATTATGTGCCTTGGGGTTGCTCTTCTTGAGGAATATCTTTGTGGTGTTCTCTGTATTACCTGGGTTGACTATTGTCCTGCTTTGCTAGTTTAGGAAAATTTTCCTGAATAATATCCTGAAGAATATTTTCCAGCTTGGATTCATTCTCTCCATCGCATTCAGGTACACCTATCAAACATAAATTTGTTCTTTTCACATAGTCCCACATTTCTTGGAGACTTTGCTCATTCCTTTTTATCCTTTTTTCTCTAATCTTGTCTTCTCATTTTAGTTCATTAATTTGGACTTCGACCTCTGATATCCTTTCTTCTGCTTGAACAATTCGAGTGTTTAAACCTGTGCATACTTCTTGGAGTTCCCGCATTGTATTCTTCAGTTCCATTAATTCACTTATATTCCTCTCTAAGTTGTCTATTCTCATTAGGATTTCGTCAAACCTTTTTTCAAAGTTCTTAGTTTCTTTACATTGGGCTATAACATGTTCTTTTAACTGATAGAAATTTCTTATTATCCATCTTCTGAAGCCTGATTCTGTTAATGGGATGCGCTCGTTCTCCAACAAGTCTTGTTCCCTTGTTGATGAGGAACTGTGATCCTCTTTAGAGGGAGAGGCGTTCTGATTTTGAGTATTCTCAGCCTTTTTACACTGGTTTCTTCACATCATTGTAAATTTATCCACCTGTCGTCTTTGTAATTACCAACTTTCAAATTAGGTCTCTGAGTGGACGTCCACGTTGTTAATTCCCAGGGCTGAAATATGAGCAACCCTCTGTGCTGGCCAAAACAGCAGCGTTAAGACTGATGGTGCTTTTCTGCCCAGGAATCTCCAGTCTGGCTTCCTTCATGAGTTCGTAATAAGCGACTCTGCCTTCCCGGAGCTCCAAACCTCAGTCAGAAGGGGAACCAGTCCCGTTTACTCTGCACCAAGAGCTGCCGCGCCGAGGTGCTGGCACAACCACTGCGGCGGCCACAAGAGTCGCGCTGGTGACCCGTGTGGCTCCACCAAACCTCTCGGTCAGAAGGGGAACCAGTCCCATTTACTCTGCACCGAGAGCTGCCACACCGAGGTACTGGCAAAACCGCTGCGCCGGCCACAAGAGTCGCGCTGGCAACCCATGGAGCTCCTCCGCTGGGAATCTTCTGCTCCGTGAGCGACCAAAATTTGTCTGAAAGTGTGGTGTCCTCTCGTTCTCTGAGCTTTCACTGGGAGCTGCAATCCCGAGATGTTAGCGATCAGCCATCTTGGATCATTCTCCCATTTATGTACTCTTAAAAAGAAACATTTTAATGTGGGGGGTAAGGGAAGTGAATAGCCCTGGAAAAGGAAACAGGGATATTGCCTTCAGAGTTCCAAAGTATGAAGACAATATTTAGTGCATCAAAGATGAGGTATGCAAATTATCCCTTACGAAACAAATAATAAAATGAAGCTATGTACATCATTAGAAAAATGAGGTGGGTGTTGTGGACGCACTGCAAAAGGAGAGTCATGGAAGTACACACCCTGACAGTGCCTATTCAAGTTCTGTCTAGGGACTCTGTCAGCCAGACTCAGCTTCCAGGCAACCTCACAGAAGGGAGATGGACACCATAGATTGTCATCAGAGTGTTGAGTCTTAGCTCATCTCCTTTTCTCTAGCACCATGTTCCCTAGGCAGCCTTCTGTTGACAGCTCCTCATACTGACTGTGTACAGGGAGGGAATGTCAGGGCAATGGAGCTGCAACTGGCCTATTTGACCAGAACTCTAACCAAAGAAGGCTTCTTTCCCCCATCCCTTGGTGTTCCTTCATCCTGCCTTGTTTTTCCTCACGGTACTTTATCACCTGATGTTACAGATTTGTTTGTTGTGTATTGCTTATCCTCCCCAACCTTGACCCTGATGATAATGTAAGCTTCAAGCTTTCCTGTTCACTGCTGCATCCCACACCTAGAATGGTGCCTGGCATTTAATTGAAGCTTGATAAATATTTGTAAGATGGATGGCTAATTTTATATGTCTGTTTGATGACATCTCTGATAAAATGAGGCAGTATTCCAGATTCTGGTCAACACTGGGACATTGATGAGTTAGAGTTTGACCCTGTACTGTGAAAAGTGCGAATTAACTAAGAAAAATGGCATCATGTGCAGACCTGTCTGCTCAGCCCACAGCTTTCCTCTGGCCACTCCCCTCTGTTTCCCTTGTGCTTTCTTTGTGTGCTTTCAGTCTCAAATACAAATTAATAACAACAAAGGAATAATACAAATTAATGATGACATCAACAATAATAATCACACTGAAGGCTTTCTATATGCCAGGTAGTTTTGTTACTTCTCAAATTTGTTTAATCAAGTAAAATTTTGCCAGCAAGACACCAGGGGACCCGAGTTTTGGCCCCAGATTTGCTGTTAAACTGTGTGACCTTGAGGAAGTCTCTCCACCAGTCCAAACCTCTGGTTTTTGTTTGTTGTTTGTTTTTTAGTTTTTAATTAGTGAAGTAAAGGGTTGGACAAGATCCGTAGATTCTAAACTTTTTTCTTTTAGCAAGAGCACCCTATTTTCAAACAAGTCCTGCATCAGAACTCCCTGTGTGAAAAGATAAAAGCAGTCTGTCTGTGGTTGAAGCTCCCTGGCCTTGCACCTGCTTCCCTGCGGCAGTCCTTGAGACAGCTCCTCAGAAAGCCCAGAAGAACAGATTAAACGCTCCTGGAGCCCCTCTCATGTTCTCCAAAGGCCAGACCAAGAATGAAGCAGAGAGTGTTATTTCATGGCTTTACTCAGGGGGAAAGAAACCCTTTGTGGTGGGAGACAAAAGATATCACTGGCTGAGGAACTTCCTCTTTGCTCCAACAGAACAGAAGAGCAGGTGAAGTGTAGTGATTCCCAAACTTTAGCTTAGAGTAGAATCACCTGGTGGATAAAGCAGGTGGATTCACAGGCCACGCTCTGCTTTCCTCCATCGTGACTCTGTGGGTCCGAATCAGCATTTTAACTGGCTCTCGGCTTGATTATGATGCAGGTGGTACGAAATCTACATGTTGAGAGTAATAAGCATCAGGGAGTCACAGGACGTGCAGTCAAGAGGAACATGAGCTGAGGCCATTTTAGGAAAGAAGGGCAGACATATTGTACTTAAGATGTAAGTTGAGGGAAGGGTCTGTGTGTGCATGAACCAGTCTGAGATATGTGAAGCCTGAGAGACAAGGCATGGGTTGCTCTTGCAGTGTAATTAAGGGAATCAGCCCCTGCATATGTAACAGGCTGATCTGATGAACAGGAGGCTGGCATGGAAACACCGAGGTGGGTTGTACCTCCCGACAGCAATGCTTGCTGTCTCTTCAGTCTATGGGCTGACTGGTGCTGCCAGCTAACATTCGTGAATAAACCTATTCACGTGTCTTATGTTAGAGACTTCCTGTGTATTTTCTTCAATAACCACAGACCTTGGCCAATTAACAAGGGGCCCCAGGTCTTCCTGATGCCGAAGCCCGCGGTCTTTATGCTTAACCAACCTTCAGTAATAACTGCCACTGACATTCACTGAGCCCTCCCCATGTGCTAACTCCATGCCAAATGCTTTCTAGCCATTAGCTCATCTGATTTTTGAAACCACCCTATAAGGTGGGTATTGTGTGTATCCCATCCTATAGACAAAGGAACCCAAGCAGTTTGGTTCCAGAGGCAAGCTCTTCCACACTGCCCACCCACTGTCTCCTTCCAAATCTTCAGGGCAATTTGCTGACCGAAAAGGGTAAGGGCAGCTTTGAACTCACAAAGTTTAGCTGTTTCACGATGATTCCTTTAGTAAGATTTTGCTTTTGCTCTAGGGTAACCATAATGAATCCTCCAAAGTAGAGCTCATTTTGAGAGTGAAAGGGGGCATTATTAATAATTAGGCCAGGATAATAGGCTTACCTGAGGACCTTGCTGAGAAACCTTAACACAGTTGCATCATCTGCTTCAAACTGCATCCATTGTCTTCAAATGTCTCTTTCGTGTAAACCTTCAGTTTTAGCAGAAAACTTTGACTCCACTTCAGAGAAAATCGAAACCACCATGCAGGCCTTCCCTTAACTGCTTGTCACATACAAACCTATCTGCATCTCTGCTCATTTTTTTCTCACGATAGCAGAGGCCCATCTTGTAATCCAAGGTCAGTCTTCCTTTCCCTCAGCTCTAAATCTCAGCTCCCTCCTGTCTTCCGGGCATGTGGGGGATGAGATGGGTGGAAGACAGGCCTTGCTCCATTATCATCACCTTTGCCCCCAGTCTTCATCTCCTCTCCCTACTGGCTCTGCTCCTCAGCATTTAAATATGTTCAGATCTCTCCCATATTAAAACGAAATCATTGGCATAAAACTATCCCTCCACCCCATGTTTCCCCTTTGCCTCTCATCCTCTATTTCCCCTCGCCGTGAAAGCTAACCTTCCTGAGTGCATAACTTATAAACTCAGCAGGTCTATATGCCCCTGATGAGCTGCCTGCAGTTCATCTCTGTAGCCTCATCTCCACTCTTCTCCACCTCCAGCTCTCGGCCCCGCCTGTGTGGGCTTCTCTGTGCTGTGTGCCCCGCTCTCTCCTCCACCCCAGGGATCTTGCACAGGCGGCTCCCCCTGCGAGGACCACTCTTTTCTCTTCTGTTTGACAATGACTCCTTTGGGTGCACTTCAACAGTTTGCAGACTCTTACAGTTTTCTCCAGCCACCTTCATGGTTCAACCGAATAATCACCCTTTTAACACTGACACTTAAAAAAGAAAAAGAAAAGAAAGGAAAAAGAAACCATATATCAAGCACACAGGCTGGCCCCAGAATAGAAGGATAGAAGACACGTGCAGACCTCAACACGCGTTGCCTTGGGAGGCAGGTGATTTATTTGGAACTTACTTGTTAATGACTCCTCCAGGACCATGGCTCCGCTGTGTGCATCCCCAGCTTTCCAGATCCGAAGAGAAGCTGAGGAGAAAGTTTGAGCAAAGGTTTGGCATTTTATTATCTTTCCTCCATTCTCTCTACCAGAGCAGGGCCAGCTTTTCACCGCACCCTCTTTCCCAAGGCTGTTACATCAGAATTGGGGTGGGGGGCTGATTTCTCATTGGCTTAATTGCTCCTAAAGATCCGGGAAGAAGAGAGAGAAGATCTAAACATTACTGATGCAACTACTTTATTATATATAATAAGGCCATAGTTTTGTCTCTCTACAAGGCACACCCTTAGATGAAAGCTTGGGTGGAGGAAGTCTTTCTGGGAGATAATCCAAGAAGAAAGAATGAGGAAAATGAGACAAGGAAAAGAAGAAAGCTCCCTCCCCCCTAAAAAAAAGTGTGTTAATAGTTGATTACTGTTGTGGACAACTGGGGCCCAATCCCTCTGAGGAACCAGAGAGAACATGCCTCAGAATTGCTTAGGAAATAGGGCTAGGGGGCTGGAACATTTATCCACATTTACCCACCAACGTGGCCCTCCCTTAGCTCCACCTACCCTGCCTGCATACTTCCCAGTTGCTGGGCTGAGCAGCCTTCACTGTCATAGAGAAAGCCTGGAAGCAGAAAAACAGACTGCCCAGGTGTAAACTCCATGGGGGACTCCATCATGAAACCGATCACACAGCAGTGTAGAAAGTCAGGTGGGTAAACAGGCTGTGCTACAGGGAATCCTAAGTGTCTGCTACAAGTAAGATGTTAGAATGGATCTCTTCCTGCCTTGGTTACGCTACCCTAAGCTGACAGTGTGATGGGTATCGAGATCAAAGGCAATGTGAGGGAGATCTGCCCTTGAGGAATGTGCAATGGGAGTCAAGGAGAACTGGTGTCACTGCCTTTGGAACCCCCTCATCTATAGATGGAGGGCTGAGAAAGGGAGATCGGGAAAGAGGCTTCTTTGGAAATAACTTTATTGTGAGTCCACACCTCTTCCCCAAGGTATGGTGATGTTGCCTCTGACCACAAGCTAAATAAAGGAGACTTCAAGAAGGCTTAGGGAGCTTTAGAATGTGGCCCTGAGGGTTAGTCAGAGGGGACAGGCACCTATGACAGGTCTGGGAGAGTTAAAACCGGTAATGGGCTCCCACGAGGGGGCCAAGAGTGTGGTGCCATCTGTCAGAGCAAGGAGTGTTTATGATGGGTAGCTAAGGGCCACCCATGAGACACAGCCTGCTTGGTTGTCCCAGGTGCTGTACGATAGGGACATTTGGACAGGCCTCTGTTGTAAGAGGAGGAGATGAGATGTGTGGACAGATGACCAGGGGCTGAGGAAGGAGTTGCAAAGGACCACCCAGAATAGAGGTGCATCCACCTCCGGTCAAGAGTAAAAGAGAAGGAACCAGCAAAACTTAACCAGCAAAACCGCTCCTAACAGAAAATAGTTCATCTTGGCCATCTGCGAGGCCCACAGAGTACAAAGCCACTCAGCTAGGTAAGAAGAGTTGTAACACTTCCCCACACTCCCCATCCTCCTAGAGTGGGGAGACCTGAGTAGGGGGAGGTGAGTTGAGGGGGAGCGCTGGTAAGGGGAGCAGATGGGGAAAGGCAAGCTGAGCACAGCAGAGAGGAGAGACCACTCCCTCCTGTACTTACGGCCTCTAACCTGGATGACCCAAGCCAGGATAAGGGAGATTCTTTGATAATAAGGTCAGTTTGAAATTTTGTATATTACATAGGACAGGAAGTATTCATTTCTAAACTGAGACCAGTACTGATTTCTGGACTGAGACCGAGGCCAGAGTTCTGGGGCAGGGAAGACTACCCCACCGAATAAGATTAAAAGGGCAGTATGAGAAAAAAATTGAAGTTTTATTTGAATCACAATCCATGAACAAGAATGAAAATTACACCTGGAATCCCAGCATTTTGGGAAGTTGAGGCCAGGAGTTTAAGACCAGCCTGGGCAACATAGCTGGGTCCTGTTCCACAAAAAATGTTTTTAAAACTTAGCTGGGCATGGTGGGGCTCACCTGTAGTCCCAGCTAATTGGGAGGCTCTTGAGATGGAAAGATGACTGGAGCCCAGGAGGTTGAGGCTAGAGTGACCCATGATTGCACCACAGCACTCCAGCATAGGTGACAGAGCAAGACCCTGTCTCTTAAAATAAAAAAAAGTAAATAAACGAAAATTAGACTTGACAATTATGCTCTCAGAAATGACTTCCTCTGCACTGGACTCTAAGAGCTCAGTGGGGTGGAAATTATTTTCCTCTCCTCAACAGGCGTAATGGACTGTTTATGGATACTTATGGAGACAGGCTTAATAAACCTGAACAGTTACCTCTGGCTATCAGCATACTCACTATAGCAGCCTTGGCTCCCCCCTCAAGAGTAAACACATTTTTGGCTGCAAGAAGTGCAGTTAAGCAATAGGCTCTAGCTTCAGCACCTGCGGGATCTACGCTCCCGTGCACAGCGCGGGTCCTGGCACCGGGACATTCTTGCACAGCGAGAGTCCCAGTGCCTGGACATGCCTGCCCACCATGGGCCTCCTCTAATGGGCAGTCGGTGCCAGAGCTCTCTGCTAAGTCAGCTGAGACTCTGAGACCTGCATCAAAGTCTGAGGCTCTTCTGGCTCCACCCTGCTTCCTTCTCTGTTTATGTTTTCAAGGCCTTTCCCCACATTAAAACTCTTGCTCTGAACTTCGGCTTCTGCTTCTCAGAGAACCTAACTAACTGATGCACTCATCTTTTAAGCTCTGAGCATGATGCACATGACCCTCT